AAACCAAGAATAGACGGCCGCTGGAGTTGTAGAAGGGTGCATCACTGATGGCCAGGCATTGGATGCAGGGCCATGCTTGGTTTTTTAACAAACATTCTGGTCTTCAGCTTTCTCATTTCTTAGCAGCTAACTTTAACTTTCCTGAACCATCTTACTTTCACTGTGATCCTGGGCCCTTGCTGTGTCCAGTGTGAGCAGTAATATGATCACTGTGGTGTGTGTGTGTCTTTGGGGTGGGAGGGAACTCTTACTAAGCACCTGTTGTTGTTACTGTAAGGTCCTTGGGTGGTGCAGAAGGTTTACACTTTGACTACTAACTGGAAAATTAGTGGTTTGAACTCACTCAGCATCAGCATGGAAGAAAGGCCTGGTAAAGATTACAGCCAAGAAAATCCAATGGGACTCAGTTCTAGTCTGTAACACATGGGGTCATCATAAGTTGGAATCAACTGAAAAACAACAGATCTGGAGGGTTTTTTCCAGAGGGGCTTGTTATTAGTTACCATTGAGTCAACTCCAACTGACGGAGACCTTATATGTAATAGAATGAAATGTTGCCTGGTCCTGCGCCATCTCCCAGACCACTGGTATATTTGAGTTTATTGTTGTGGCTATATTAAACACCTACTGGTTGCCAATTACTGTTGTACATGTTAGAGTCTCTGCCCTAGTGTTTATATTTGGTCAAGGCTGTGGTTAAAACAAGTGATAGACCATTAAAACAGTTTAACTAAGTGTATGGCAGAAATAAATGAGAGGCTGAGAGAGAGACGAGAGAGTGTACTCAGGAATGATTTCTCAGACAAGGTAACACTCAAGCAGACCTAAAATATGGGAAGAAGGAAGAGAGCTGGTGAAGCACACAGGCAGAGGTCTGCAAGTTGGAAAGAACTTGGCTTGTTGGAGGAACTGAAAGGCGGCTAGTGAAGCTGGGATGCCCCGGACAGTGCGGAGAGGGGCAGGAGATGAGCTAAGGAGTAGGGAGGGCTTGATCTTCCCTAAGAGGAGTGGACTTTAATCTCAATGCAAGGGGAACCATGGAAGCATTTTAGGCAAGGGGTGACAGGCACTCCTAGTGCAGAAGAGGAGATAGAAGGCATTAAACTTTACTGAGCAGCTACTATGTGCCAGACACTGAGCTTTGTGCTTTACAGTCTTGTTTCACAGAACTGTCACAATACTGCGTGATAGATAATACGATCCTCATTTTACAGGGCAGAATATAGAGTCTTAGAGGGGGCATGACACTCATCCGAGTTCACACAGCATGATGACTGGGAGGATCAGAAATTTGAATGCAGACCTGTCCACCTCTAAATTCTTCCTATCTCCTTTATCCACCTGGGCCCTAATCACCAGTGATTTGGGGCACCCGTGCCCAGGGAACAGAGATGGCTGAGCCCTCATGACCCTTGGAAGTATCACAAAGGAGCTCACTGCTCTCCTTTGCTGGAGTCTTACTCAAGGGCAGAGGAAAACCACACACTTGGAAAGAAGACCTCACAGAGCATGAAAGGAGGAACCTTACAGATTTAACCGTCTCATTTTGCAATTCAGGAACCTGAGGCCCAGAGAGGGGAGACCACTTTTCAAGGGTCCCACAATCATGAAGTCAGATTAGAACCCCACGTCTCAGTTCCAAGTCCATTTTCACAGTTCCCAGCGGTTCTTCCAAGGGGCTTGCTGTCTGGAGGGGCTGCTGCACTCCTTTTGGCATCTAGCTTGGGACTGTTCACATAATCTCCCACCCCTGCCCACCCTGTCCTCCACTCCACAGCCAGAGTGATTCTTTAAAAACCTAGGTCAGTCCATGAGATCTCCTTGCTCAAAACCTTCCAAACCAGTTGCTGTCAAGTCAACTCCGATTCACAATGATTCCATCCACATGTGCCAGAAGAGGACTGTGCTCCAGAGGGTTTTCAGTGGCTGATTTTTCAGAAGTAGATGCTAGGCCTTTCTTCCGAGGTGCCTCTGGGTGGACTCAAACCTCCAACTTTTTGGTTAGCAGCCCAGGCACGTTAACTGTTTCAAGGACTTCTCAAAACCTCCTCATGGTTTCTTATAGGAGGGCCTCACTCTGGCCCTCAGAGAGGGCTTCCCGACCCCACATCTAAACCACTACTCTGTCTCTCTCTATCCCCTTTCCTGCCTTTGTTTTTCTCCAAGCACCTGTACTGAATTGAAGAGTGTCCCCCCAAATTCATGTCATGGAACCTGTGGGTGTGCCCTTATCTGGAAGTAGGATCTTTGCAGAGATAATCAATTAAGATGAGGTTATATTGGATTAGGGTGGGCCCTAAATCCAATGATTTATGTCTTTACAAGAAGAGGGAAATTTGGACACAGAGACACAGGGCAGAAGGCCATGGGAAGACAGAGGCAGAGATTGGAGTGCAGTATCTATAAACCAAAGGAAGCCAAGTATTGCTGATCACCACAGAAGCTAGAAGAGGCAAGGACGCATCCTCTCCTAATACCTTTGGGGGAAACAAGACCCTGCCAACACCTTGATTTCAGGCTGCTAGCCTCCAGAAGGGGGAGAGAATACATGTCTGTTGCTTGTAGCCACTCTGTTTGTGGTACACTTTGTTACTGCGGTCCTAGGACACTAATACACTACCTGACATTTTATTTCTATTTGTTTGTTTACCGCTGGTCTCCCAGGTTTTCATGAGCAGACAATGCCTGTTTGATTCACTGTTGTATCCCCTGTGCTTACTTTGCACATCATAGAGACACACTAAATATTATTGTGGAATGAATGGGTCCCTGGCCACTTCTACTCACTGATAGAGAGATGCCCATCACCAGCTTGATGCACACAGTCCCTTTTATCAGGAGTATGGTGTTTGTCCTCAGCTCTGACTCCCAGAAATCAAGTGTGTATCCCAAACCCAGACTGCTCTCCTGATCTCCACACACAAATGTTACCCAGTTCCATTTAAAAGTCTAACAAGAGCCTCAAACTCAACGTGTTCAAAATGAAACTCCTGGACCTTCCCCACAAACCTGCTCCACTACAGCCTTTTCCATCTTCATTAATAGTTACTCTCTTTCCAGTTTGTTAGATAAATAAATCTTGGGTCACACGTGACTTCTGTCTTTCTCTCAGAACTCACGTCCAATAACTCAGGGAGTCCTACTCTCAAAATCTATCCCAAGTCCAGCCACTTCTCCCCACCTCCGCTGCCACCAGCCTGGTCTAGGGCACCACGTCTCCCCAGCTGCACAACTGCAGCGGTCTCCTCACTGGCCTCCCTGCTCCACCCTTGCTTCCCGACAGTCCAGCTCCACAAAATGATGAGCATGGACCTTTTAAAATGAGTCAGTCCAGAAAAGGCAAATCCACAGAGTCAGAAAGTAGATTAATGGTTGCCCAGAGCTGGGGCACTTAGGGAGAAATGGGGAGTGACTGCTATGGGTAGAGGGTTTCTTTTGAGGGCAATGGAAATGATCCAAAATTGATTTTGGCAATGGATACCCAACTCTGTGAATACACTAAAAACCTCTGAATTGTCACAAATAAATGCATATTTGACACATAAACAAACAAATGCAAGGCAGATCCTAACCCTCTTCTGCCCAGATCCCTCAATGGCTTCCATCTCAATTGAATCAAAGACAAGTCCTCAGGATGACCTACCAGGCTCTCCTTAACCCAGCCACTGTCCTCCTCTGACCTTTCCCTACACCCTCTCCCTCTTTCACTCCACCGGTCCGACAACAGCCTCCCCGGTGTTCTTAGAACCCGCCAGGCACGTGCCCACCTCAGGGCCTTTGCTCTTGCTGTGTCCTCTTCTGTCGCATCACCAAGCAGTGGCCTTTCTGTTCTGTCACATATCCTGCACCCTGCTGTCATGTATCCAAACAGCTTGCTCTTCACCTCCTTCGGGTCTTTAAACAAACGTCACCTTTTCAAGGAAGCCTTCCCTGGACATCACTTCCCATCCCTTTTCTCTACTTGAGTTTTTCCTCTTAGAATGTCTTACAATCTAACATTCTATTTCTTTTACTTATTGTGTTGATCACAAGCTCCATAAGGGCAGGGATTAGACTGCGTTGCCCATGAGTATATTTCTGGCATATAGAACAAGCACAAAGTAAGCACTCAGTGTGTGTGGAGTGACTGAATGACCATAGAATGACAGATGGCAGGACAGCTGTCTGTGATCCAGTGGCTCCTCAGCCTCAGGGAGTGGCGAGGGGCCTCCCAGCTGCAGCCTCCACCCTGTCTGATCCCCACAGAAGGCTCAGGAGTGGGCAAGGGCCCTGTGTTCATTCAGAGCCTGAATCATCGGAATCTTTGCTGACCAATTCACCCAGCTCAGCTGAGTGTATGGTGGGAGGGGCCCCAGGGGCTTTTTTGGGTTGGTTTCTGGGCTCCCGGGCCTCTGTCATCTGTTAAGCAGAACAAATAAAGGGTTAGCCTGGCACGCAGTAATTCCTCAATAAAAGCTAGTGCTAGTTAGGACTGGGGTTCTGACCAGCAGCAGAAGGGCCCTTGTCAGCACATCCATGCTCTGAAGCTCTAGTCTTCCCAGGCCTCACCCCGCCCAGCCTTGTCTAATCCCACTTCCCAGGCTGAAATGAAAGCCCCCGTACAACAACCCCACCATGACTTTAGACATCAGGACGGACTTGCTGACTCCCAGGAAGAAGAGACAGTACATAGTAACAAAGGGAGGCAGTGGCTTTTCCCTCAGCATCTGGGAAAACCTCCCATGGTCATTGGGGCTTGGAGCAGAGGGGACAGGAGAGGGGGAGAGGACCCCACCTGCAGCAGCAGCTCCAGGCAGCCACAGAGTCTGTGCAGCTCAGCGCTGGCATCTGTCACCGACTGCTGCCCATGCCCATGTCCCTGGAGGATGGCAGAGACAGCAGCTACAGAGAGGACAGTAGCCATCAGACATCAGGTAGTGAGGGCTCCAAAGGACGGGCTCTCCCACACCCCTCAGTTCTCCCCCAGCTCAGTTTCAGAAAATCTCTCAGGACACACTCACCTTTCAGGTCCCTGGTGACCTTGAGGACAGCCCCTTCTTGCACCATGGATTCTTGAAAATGAAGAGATTCCTTGTAACTTGGGCCGTCCTGGCCCTGGAAGGACTCTCTGGGCTTAGCTGCCAACTTTCTCCTCAGACAAAGGAAGAGTCAGGGATCTAGAGAGGGAAAGTGACTTACCTAGGGTCACACAGTAGGTTAACTACTGGGTGAAAAGACAGAGATCTTTCTGGTGACCAGTGTGTGAAGGTGATGGTGCCGCTGCCTCTGATGAGTTCCTGGGTGCCGGGCACTGTGCTAAGTGCTTTGCATACTGTGTCTCATCAGCCCCACACTAACCCAGTGAGGTTCATAGAAGGTACGGCAAAGAGAGGGTTAGTTACAAGGTCACAAAGCTATAAATGGTGGGGCCAGAATTTGAACTCAGGTTCTTGGCCTCCACTTGATGTCCTGTGGGTACTTGTGCTGCATGGCAGCCTGGCCACGGTAACATCATCCCCTTTGTGCGGGGAGTCCTCACCAGGCAGTCATCACCCTTGAGACACACTCATCCTTTCCTGAGCTCAGGCTGAGGGGAAATTGTGTGTGCTTTATGGGAGGAGGGCAGAACTCAGGCTAGGCCCCAGAGCAGGGGTAAGCCAGAATGTGGGGGGATGGGAGCCACCACATTTGCTTTCAATCTTGTCTCTTTCTCCCAGGGGAATCTCAGCCTGTTCCTGGGACTCAGAGGGGGACATTGTGGCCCCTGTGGGCTTATTTTGATAATCTGGGGTCAGAGCCAGGCATAGGTTGGAAAACCCAGGCATCCTGTCTCCCAGGCTGTGGTTGCTGGAGTGTGAGGGTGGGGTTGGGGAGCGATGACACAGTGGGACCCAGTGGATGGGAAGGGAGAGGGTCACGAAGGTAAAGAGGTAGGGTGGGTAGTGGTAGGGTATAGGGAGCACTGCGCTGGGAGTCAAGAGACCCCGGTCTCCATCCTGGCCCTGCTACTAACTCGCCAGTGTGGTCACTCACCTTCTTGGGACCTGTTTCTCCTTATGTAGACCAAGGAGTTGGACTGTGTGTCTCTTGCAGCCCCTTCTAGCCCAGAGACTCTCTGTGAAATCCACAATTATCCTCCTCCTCTCCCTGTCTCTGATAGAACCTTTTGTCCCTAGTCACTCTTTGCCATCATTTTCTTTTTTTCGGGCACCCCTAAGACCAAGAAATCTTTGCAGGAGTCTCCATGCTATTCACCTGGGAAGGCTGGCTTAGTTGAAGAATGTGGTTAGTTAAGTTAAGAATGTGTTTAGTAAACTTGGCTGGTCCTGGTTGAGTGGCTGGGCAGCTGGATGTAGTTATTCCCCATGATGAAACTGGTAATCAGCTCCATGGTGGAATCTGCAGCTAGCAGCTGAGTAGCTGCCTTAGGGATGCAGTCTGCTCCCAGTGTGTAAGGAGAAGAGTTGAGAAAGGTCTCTGCAGCTTTTTGGCATGCTTGGACTCTGCATGCAGCTGAGTCTTCATTCAGTAGCCTGCCATGACTGTCCCTGGACTTGAACTAGTGGCCTGACATGTTGTCTGGTAATCTTGGGACTGGGCCATTTTACTTGTTGACCTTGGGTTTGTCAACCTCAGCAGCCAGCAGCTGCCTGAGTTAAGAGAAGACTCTAGCTTCAGTGGGCCAGGAGCAAGCGGCAGAACTGAAGCCCAAGGTCTAGGGACCTTCACCCAGCCCCTAGTGATGGCACTTTGAACTTGGACTTCTAGCCTCCTAAACTTCAAGAGGATAAAAATCTGTTAAAGTCATCCACCTGTAGCATTTCTGTTAGAGCAGCACTAGGGAACCAGAACAAGCACAAAGAGCACGGCTCTTATGGCTTGTGACTGTGGGTCCTGTACAATCTTCCCTAGAACTTGCTGCCTGGTAAGGAACTCAGGGCCAGTCCAGCACCCTGGGAGAGGAAGCGGAGCTCAGAGTGGGAGGAGCAGAGACCCTGTTGGGAAGAAGGGGCAGAGGCAGATTCAAGGCTACAGGACTAATTGGGTGAGAGGGGTATGGTTGCCCTCACTTCTTGGTTATCTATGATGGTAGCAGTTACTGAGCTTGTTACAAAGTTACTTAGTTAATTATCTATTTAGTTACCTAATTAATCACCCAGTTACCTACTTAATTAGCTTGTCACCTAGTCATCCAGTTAATTAGCTAATTACCTAGTTAACAACTACTCAGTTAACTAGGTAGTTATCTAGTTAATTGGCCATTTAACAAAATGATTAGCTGACTGGGTAACTAGTTAATAAACCAGTCAATTAGTTAGATACATAGTTAACTTGATAGATACTAGCTAGTTACTAATCAACCAACCTCTTCAATAGTCAACTAGCTAGTTCATAATCTAGTGTAGTCAACTAGTCATCTACCTAGTTAGTCGACTAGGTCAATAGGTAACTTGTTAATTGACTAGTTATATAGTTAGTCAACAAATTAACTGGTTAGTGGGTAGTTAACTCATTATATACTTAGTTACCTAGTTATATGGTTACTTAGTTGGTTATCTAGTTATCTAGTCTTCTGAGGTGCCTCTGGTGGGTTCCAACCACCAATGTGTCAGCTAGTAGTTTCCTGCTTCACCATTTGCACCACCCAGGGACTCAGGGGGAAGCTCTGGTGGCCTAGTGCCACCAGAAGGCACTAGAAGGCTGGTGGTTCAAACCCACCAGCCACTCCTCTGAAGGAAGGTTGGGCAATCTACTTCCATAGAACCCAAGGAGGGGTCGCTATGAGTCCGGTCGGACTCCATGGCAGTGAGTGTGGTTTGTTTTTCTGTGGGGGGCACTCAGGCGGTAGCAGCAGTCGCTTCTCTTCAGGTTTCCTTCCCGGTTTCATCACCTGCACTTGCCATTCATTGTCCGCTTACCGGGATTTGGGTGAAGGTTTACTGCGCCGTCGTTTTAGTTCCTTATCGCCACCAGGTGGCACATAGACACTGTGAAGCTGCCCCTCTGGGTCCTAGTTGGAGTGTGGTGCCGGTGGGGAGGGAAGGAGGGTGCCAGCACCTATCTCCCTCCTGTTCCTCCCCATCTCAGTCGGCCGAGGGGACTCCGTGGGTGCGGGTTGCCAGCACCATCCTCCCAGGCCTGGTAAAACGAGCCCACTCCGACTCAGCCACCCTCCTGGAGAGGTGGGATGAGACCGCAGTGGGCTGCTGGGTCCAGGCAGGACCGGGGGGTGGCCCAGGTGGGCTGTGGCTCCCCCACCCTGGCTGTGCTCTGGATCCTTGAGGCTGGGGTCTACCCACCACCCTCGCGGCGCTCCTCGTTGTCTAGACTCCGCTGCCCCAAGAGTCGGGAAAGGCGGAGTGGGGACCCGCCAGGGCTGCTGTTTTCGCCCCCAGGAACGCAGGTAAACCCTGGCGCACTCCGCGCCCAGGTCTGTGTCTCCCGCTCGCCCCACTCCCTGCCTGTCTGTCACCCACGATGGGTCTTGGTGCCCCCATCTCTGTCCCGTGTCTCTCCATCTCCCTCGTCGCGCTCTTTCTGTGCCTTCCAGGTTCAACCTCTGCCCCGCCCTGGTCCCTGGGACCCTGGCGGCCGCCCCTCCCCGCACACCGGGGCCCACGGGTCCCCCTCAGTCACTGGCTGCTTTCTGGCGCTCGTGTCATCGCAGTCGCCAGCCCCGCACTCCCAGCTTCCTGCCGGTGCGGACCCAGAGGGCGCCGATTGTGGGCGGGGGCGCGGCTGGGGACGCTACCTCTCGGCCGCGACGCGTAGGCGCGCTGGGCCCAGGGGTCCCTGGCGGAGGGGGCGGGCCTGCTCTCGGGTGCCCGCGTCCCCGCCCCGGGCCCACTGAGCGCCGGGCCTGATGGGCTGCACCGTGAGCTTGGTGTGTTGTGAGGCGCTGGAGCCCGGGCCCCCCTGTGACCCCCAGCCGCCGGGACGTCCCGCGGCTCTGGCGCCGGGCAAGTGCTGGGAGCCTGGGGGTTTGGCCTGGGCGGAGAGAGGACCGCTACAGATTCAGGTAGGGCGCAGGAGTGGGTAGGGATGGGGGGAGGACCCCTCGAGTGGGGGAGGGGGTGGCCAAGCTAAGACAAGTAGGCTGGGAGGGGGGGGGGGGGTAGGGCCAAGGGCCAGGGGCCAAGGGCAGACTGCCCTAGGGGCTGGGCTCTGCTAGGACCAGGTGACAGGACAGCAAGTTATACTGATTTCTCACACCTGGGTCTCATGTGCCCTTGGAAGGAGGGTGAGGTAAGAATTGACCCTTGAAGGGGCAAATAGTTCAGGCAAGGCTTAGGGGCCACCCAAGAAGGGCAGAGCTGGGGAAAGACAGGGAAAGGGTTAAACAGCCTTTAACCTACACACACACACTCCAGCTAAACCTGGAATTGACTGTGGCCCTTGGGAAAGCTGTGCCAATGACTGTCTTAGCCAGGGTTGTGAAGCCAGGAGCAAGGGGGCCTCTGAGCGAGGGAGGGCCTCACAGAAGCAAGAACTGACCAAGGATGGTGGGGACAGCTGACCCTTCTCCTCTGTGTTCTCTGTTTCTGGTAAGTCTTCAAGTCTTGTGAGTAGGAGCAGGAAACAGACACAGAGGGGTTGGGGGCGCTGGGAGGTGGATGAGTTGTCTGTGGGGGGAACCACCAGGCTGGTATAGGAGTGGGCACAGATTCCCTCCAGGAGGAGAAGTTATTTGGGATCACTGGAGGCTGGATGCCCCTGCTCCAGACCCCCTGTTTGGGGACTGGGGAGGCTGTTACTTCTTAAAACAGTGCTTGCTATGTTGAGGTTGGATTACACTGGCATCTTACAGCCCTCTCTGCCTGGGGCACACAGTGGGGTTGAGGAAATGGGGTGTCCCAAAATATATCCTTCCCAGGGGTCACATCCCAGCTCCCCGCCCCCCATCAGTGGCAGCCAGTGAAAGCAGGTTGTGTGTGCCCAAGTGCTCCGTCCGCCCTACTTGACTGGACTCCCCTCCAGGGCTGAGATCATGGATATTTGTGGCCACACTCCGTCGTGTCAGGCACAGTACTAGACACTTATAAATGGAATTCTCTGGCCTTCCCAAG